GACCGGCATTAGCTCATTTCTTCAGAATAGCACTCTAAATATAGGGTTACGTTCACTTTGGAGGCCTGACAATTAAACTGCAGTTCAGAGAACCATGAACTCCCAAGGGTCATGACGAAAGGGAGACTCAGTGGCTTGGCTGGTCCCAGCACCTACGCCCCTTCCAAAACAACATCGCTCGGTATATTCAAACGTACTGTGTACTCTTTGCTGTTTCCTGTGAGCACACGTGTCCTTATCTGTCATTCAGTTCCCTCTAAGCCTCTATAGATTTAAAACAAAAAACAAAAAACAAAAAAAAACAGACAGTGATTGCTAATCTGCAGGTATTACTGGTGCTTGTCTATACCAAGAATGCCATGCAGAAATCCAAACAAAAGGAATCTATATAACAAAAAAAGAAAAAAGAAAAAAGAAAGCGAAACTGCACCTAACTCAGTATAAAAGGTGAGAAATGAGTAGAGCCCAAGATGGCTGCACAGGCGCTGCTAGGCACTCAGCAGGGTTCCAGAGGTCGGAGAGGATGATGCAATGCTGTGTTCTAACAAGCCTGTGGGCAGCGTTCCTGCTGCTGCCGGACAAGGGGATCAAGTACTTCAAAGTACTACCTAAGAGCTCCAGAGAAGGCAAAGAAAAACTCGTGACTGGGGAAGTCAGGAGACGTAGGGGATGGCGAGTCACTGGGCACGGGAAGTGAGATACACAGACATGGACACGGACACCACACATGAGGAAAGGGAGGCACAGATGCTCAAGATTCAGGGCATGGCACGCACACTGGGAAAGATGCAAAGGTACCTATGCAGCCCTTCTTGTTAGAGTTTGGAGTGTTGAAGGCTCCTCACCAGCCTACTATTAGTAGGAGGTGAAACCTGTGGGAGGTGGTACCTGCTGGCATCTCAGATCACTGGCCGGCATGTCCTTGGAGGCAGTATTGGGACCTCCGCCCCTTCCCATATCTGTTTCCCAGCCACCGTGAAGAGACCAGGTTTCTCCCACTGGCTGCTTCCACCACAGTTCGTGGTGCCCACAGGCCAAAGCAACAGTGTCTTAGAGAAGGAATTTCAACTACTCCAACCCCCAAAGGCACAGAGACTTAAAACCATGGACTCCATTCACAGACTGTCCTGTGGGCTCTCTGCCCTTCAACCCACAATGAACAGAAAAAGAGACCCCACCATCAGTTCCACCCCGTTGTCAGGTCTCCCGGGAGGAGGGCGGGAACAGTGGCCTCACCATCTAGTGATGCTGTCGGCTTCCTGGCTGGGCCACTTCCTTCACCGGCTCAGACGGCGGCACTACCCTTACTCAGCTAGTTCTTCTGCAGCAGAAGAGTGCTCAGACCACTGCACCCGCAATGTACTGTTTATAAGGGGGCAAGGTGACGGAGTACTGTACTGAGAATCCGAGACTGATCTGCGGCGGGGACCCTGTCACTGAAAATAGCCAGCCTGCCCCAAATCCAGCTGCGCACCTGAGCTGGGAACGGAGGTGAACAACGGGAAGGGCTTTGCAAGCTGCAGAGCATGGGGACATACGGCGACCCCTCCCGAAGGGCCCCGGATAAAGGTCCGAAAGTTCCTCCCACATGGCATACACATCTGATACTTACTAATTTCTGCTCAACAAGAGGAAAACCTCGGCACAGAGAAACTACTTGTCCAAGGCCAACTTCAAATCCACCCCAGCAAAGAAACAATTGCTACAGGCTGTCATAGAGTCAAATGCGTTTCTGTTATGGTTCGGTAAGGCGGCCATGTTAGTTCACTTCTAGAAAATTCAATAGTAACATTTCCTAGGAGCGCCCTAGTTAAAAAACAAACAAAAAACAAACAAACACATAACCCAAGAGTTAGCTGACATATGCAACTGCGAAGTAGAGCCGATTGGAAAGCTGGGAGTCCCAGGGCTCAAAGACGCCACAATCCTGCATGCACTCTGTGCTGGGGCTGGAGCCACCCACCTTCCCGAAAAAACAGCACCTCTCAAGCCGTGGGTCACGACCCCTTTGGGGGCGGGCACACATCAGATATCCTGCATCTATCAAGTTATAGAGTAGCAACGAAATAATGTCATGGTCGGGGGTCACCACATGAGGAACCCTATTAAAGGGTCGCAGCATCAGGAAGGCGGGGAACCGCTGCTGTAAAGGCACGGGACTGGACTTGCTGAGATTCAACCTTTCATAGGCAGCCAACCCCTTCAGCCTAGCGCAAGCTGCTCTAGGTGAGGAGATGCTCCTCTTCTCTCTGGGCTCTTCTCACACTTGGGCTTTTCTTTCTCTTAGGACTCACCAGGCAAGCCTCCCTGTACACAAGCCCTGAGCTGTAGTGCAAAGATCCTCTGACACCCTCGAAACTTTGAAGTCACTGAAAAGTGGGGGCTGGGTGTGGTACTACATGCTTGCAATACCAGCCCAAGGAAAAACTGAGGCAGGAAGATTACCAGTTTCAGACTAGCACAGATTATCTCAAAAACAAACCAACCAAGGCTAGGTGAAAGGTCTTAAGGGCTCCACCCTTACGAATGATTTTAATGTCATGGTCACAGGATAGGTTCCTGAGAAGACACTTGCCCTTTGCCACATGACACAGCAGAAAGAAGGCCCTCTGATTAGGTTCCACACTTTGGGACTTCCTGGCCTCCAGAAGTGTGCCAGTCTGTGATGTTGATTACAAAGTAGCAAATAAACTAAGACACAAGACAAGCTGGGGTCCTCCTCCTCAAACTTCTCACTTCACTCCACTCACAGTCTGTTCAACTCTGCTGCACTTCTGGCCTTGGGGGTAGAACCTGCCCAACCTGGGGACATTTTCAGGACAGGGAGGGAGGGAAAAGGAACAAAAGGAAAGGAAGGAAGAATGAAATACAATGATGCTCACCAATCAGTCAGTATCGTGTCACAAAGACTATCTGGGCTTTTGTGGTTTGTTGCAAAGTTACAGAAGAATTGACTCACAAACTGGGCAGAGCAGTGGAGGGCTATGGAGTGCCCGAGGAAATGCGAGAGATGGCCACAACATTCTGAAGACAGCATGAGCCTTCCTACACACCTGACCCGAGAGGATTCTTAACCTGTTTCCTGATGGCAAAAGACAAGGTGAGGTGCCAGAGAGATGACTCCGTGGTGAAGAGCACTGGCTGCTCTTTGCGAGAACCTGGGTTCAATTCCCAGCACCTGTAAGGTGGCCTGTAACTCCAGTGTCAGGAGATCTAAAACCCTCTTCTGGCCTCTGCAGGGCCGGCATACAGGTGGTGCACAGACACACATGCTGCCAAAACACCCAGACACATGAAACAAAAAAGTTAAACAAAACCAAAAAACAAACAAGCCAACCTTAGAGGAAGGTGGAAACAAGAGTGAAGCCTGGGCCAATGCCTGATACACAGCTAGAGGTGACAGCGGTGACAATTCCCGTCAATCGCAACATCACAGCGCTCGGGGCAACATCAAACCTCGCACACTCACTCAGCAGGCCTAGAAAACAGGATGGCAGGAAGAGCTCTTCTGGCCCATCCCTTCCTCTCAAGAATCAAAGGAAAGCACCAGCCTCCAGGCACAGACTGACCCCAACATCGACAAAAACACATCGCTGACTTTCTCCTCCAATCACAGGGCCCAGGTCCAAAGAAAAAGCACCAGCAAGCGAAGTTGCTAGATGAGCCCAAGAACAGCTCACGGAAAGCCCTGGGACCCCACCTCGAGAGCCAAATGTGGGGTGCTGGGGTGGCCAACCAGCTCCTTTCCTTTGACGGCTGAGAAAGAACCACATCCCATAGGACAGCCCAGAATGTGTGAGCCGGCCTGCTGCTCTCTGGGACAAGTGGACCTGGGCAAAGACCCCACAGAGAAAGGCAGTGATATTTATATTAACCGTGGGGTTAGAAAAATGTGATGGAAGGGATCTGATAGCTGGAGGAGAGAAATTCTCCTTTGCTAATAGGCACGCTCCACGGGGGTAGGAATTTTTGTCTGCTCTGCTTATTGCCGTTATCTTTAGCTCTTGAAACTGTGCCTGGAACACTTGACTGAATGAAAAGGAGACAAAAATCCCATATGATTCAGGCCAAAAGCTTTGAGTCAAACAGAGCTGGATCCAGATCATTCTGGGGCAGCTCTGTAAATGCTGTGTGACTGACACACCGCTCGGCCTCTCTTGGATCTTGTTCGGATAAATTACAGAAATGGACTAAGACAGCATCCACACCTGATGGCGAGGTAGCCTGAAGAATATTCTATGTCCCAGGGTGCGAAATGAGGTCAACTTAAACTTTTACCTGTCAACTCAGAGTGGAGCCTATAACCACCATGCCATGGCTATGAGGGCCAGGGCTTTCGTCTCTCTGGACAGGAGTGAGGCAAAGTCCTCGTGACCTGGAGACTGCGCTAGGGCCAGTCCCCTCATAAAACACAACGCCTTCATTACACTCATTCCCGGCACTGCTGTCCTCACAGGACGGCCCTCCTATTTACTAAGGGCCGTCCTGAGGGATGGAAGGACTGCTCCCCAATGGCGCCCGCTCACTGGAGTTGCTCAAGTGACAGTCCACTAATACAAGGAACCCCAGGCTCTGTGGAAGTCTTTAAGGCGAGAGAGGGTGCCCCCAGGTCATTAAATATTACATATTCACGACCGAAACTTACAGAGACTAACACAAGACCACGCGGCGTGCCCTCCTGAGAGGACCCTGTGTGATGGAAACTTACAGGGGCTCAACAGCTCCTCAGTTTTGTTGCGTGTCCCTGATGGCAATCTCAAGTTGAAATGCTCCCAAGTGCAAAGCTCCAGGTGCTGTGCGGATGCTGGAAACTGACATCTGACCGTTGTGTTTCCCAAAACGCCTAGATGAGGGATACTCAGGGTGCAGCATCTGTACAGGTGTTGCCAGCTGCTGACCTTATACCGTCGCCTCCTGCACAAAAGCCCTGCCACCCGGAAGCTTCGCTAGAGCCTAAGGTCCCCAGCTCAGCAGCTGAGACTCCACCCTGCCAAGGTTACCTTACAGCCTCAGGCCATGTGGTCTGGTCCATACATTGTTCCTTAGAAGGCAATGCTCTCAAAGATCAAGTTGAACTCCACCTAGGAGAGACAATGTCCAATAATAACCAGGAGCTGAAAAGAAAGCTGAGCCCCAGCCTGGCCCTCTTCCTTTCCAAGGAGGCCCAGCCTCCTCAGCCTCACCCACATTTTGCTAAAGCTGGAACACACTGCATTCTCTCCTTCAATGCAAAAGTGGAGATGACTCTAGGGCACCGGGGGAACGGCCATGGCACAAGCGCATCACAGCTAGCAGAAGGACTGACCCCAAGGTGGGCGCGTGAGGGGCACATGCCTGTGGTAGCTGTCTGCTGATGGAGGAGGGGCAGCAAGAATTAGAGGGGTCGAGGCAGGGCTGTTCGTGACAGAGCACTTGCCTGGAGTGTGCCAGGCCCTCCCTGAGCTGTCCCACCACCTCATCATCACCATAGGAAGATAGGTTAAGGAAATAAACGGCCTCCACTGGGTGTGAACAGGATCCTCCCGGACCAGAAAACTATAAGAAAGGGAGAGAAAAGCCTAAAAAGAGGTGGCAAAGGAGAGACTACTCGGATGTAACAGGCCCTCGGGGACAAAGCCTAGCATTAACTGAGGGAGCTGCATCCTCATTTCCCTCCATTCTCCCCGGAGAAGCAGAAGGAACACAAGAGGGTTGAGCAGGAGATGTTTTCGGTTCCCATGCGTGTTCTGGCCTGGGGCTGTGGAAAGCAAGTGTGTCATCCTAGCAGGATTGGTCTCCTCAGTCCCTTCCTGCCAGCTGCTGCAATCGATTCCTCCCAGCAGTCCTCCACCTCCAACAGTGCTCCCCACCAGACAATCCATGCCTCTGTGTATGTATGTACGTATATATGTGTGTGTGTGTGCTCCAGAGCTTAGGACCTGATCAATGGAGTCGGTGAAAGATGCTAACAGGGCTGGGCAGACGATCCATCGGTTATGAATGTTTGTTTCACAGCATGGGGTCGAGAGTTCAAATCTCTGGCGCCTACAGTAAAAGCTAGGCATGGCCAAACACATACCAGAAACCCCACCACAGGAGGTGAAGTGGTAGAGACAGAAAGACTGCTGGGACTTACAGGTTATCAGCCTAGCTCCAGGTTCAGAAAAAGACCCTGTTCTCAAGACAAGAAGGCAGGGGGTAAAGGAGCAGAACACTCTATACCTCCCCCCATGGCCTCCACACACCCACACACGTGTGCAAACACCATCCTACACATACACAAAGATTTAACAAACATTTGCTGTCCGGCCCCTAGGTGCCAGGTGCTAGGGGAGAATAGCGGACACCCTGTCCCCCTGGAGTTTCGGCGCTCAGGAGTCAAGACACACATAAGCACACCCAGGACCTAGCGAGAAGCGCACAGGCACACACACTGTGGAGGAGGGCAAGGTGAGGGCAGGTAGGAGTGTTAGGACACACAAGAAAGAAGGGGCAAGTTATGGGGGTGGCAGAACCAGGGACAGTGTGTACCCTGACAGGAAATGGAGTCAGTGAGAAGGGCAGCCATGCTGGGAGGGATTGGGGCCCCGTGAATGTGTCAGGTGGGGTCCAGTACGGAGGGCCTCCCTGCAGAGGGCCATGGGGGCAGAGTGAAACCAGCAGAAGGTGGCTCTGGGCGAGGGTGGCTCTGGCCAAACCCAGAGGCTCGATTTCATGGAGAAGCCAAAGCGAGGAAGGGCATGGGGGTGAAAGCAGATGGGAGATGGGGGGGCTAGGGCTGTGTGGGATGAGGAATGGCAAAGTGGCAGGCATGGCCCTGACAGTCTTGGTCTGAGAATGTATCTGAGAAGAAAAGAACTGCACACACCCATCTCTTCCTGCTGGGGCCAGCTAGAAGGGAGAATGGGCTGGCTAACCCTGGCTCTCCCAGTGTGGAGGAGGAGGTCAGGCTTGGGTTAGCAGGGCAGTCATCCCTGGCACAGGTCCTTCTCCACATGGGAAAGGCCTAGCCAGCCAGCCTAGCCAGACTCCCACCTACTTTGGTCTCTGTCTCCCTGCATGGCTGCTGCTAACCCCAAATCCACCCCTCATCTGCCCTAGCCAAGACAGCTAGCTGGGTGTGAGGGCACAGGCCTTTAACCCCAGCACTCCAGAAGCAGGTAGATCTCTGAGCCTACTCTAGCTGGTGAGTTCTAGGCCAGCCAATGCTGTACAGAGAGACCGTGTCTCAACTCCCCACACCCACAACCCCATCCCCTCACCCCAAAATACCAGACAGCTGAACAGAGCTCTGAAGTGAAAGCCTTATTCTCTGCACGCAGCCCGCTCCTGCAACTCCTCCCCACAGGGGCACCTGGGTGCTCCTGAAGGAGGCAAGCATGCCTCCACATAATGGGAGGTGGCCCCAACTTAGGGAGCAGGCAAGGGAGCTGAGGACAGGGAGAAGAAAACAAGCCAGAGGAAGGCCTGTGCCCTAGCCACACTCAGCTTTTGCCAGTTACTTCTGAATCAGTGGCTCAGGCCACATCACCCTGCTGCACCTACACCTGGCCGAGCCTCCCTGCCCTTCCACGGAGCATCACTGGTCACCCGTGACACACGCTGCTCAGATCCACGCTAGCCTGTTCATGGACTTGCCAGAGACGGACTAAAAGACCTACAGAAAAAGGAACTGGCAAGGTGGTAGGCCAGAGGTACTTCCCTACTGACAGACTCCAGCCACGGGCTGGAGGAGTGGCAGGCATGTCAACCAAATGTCTGCCACTGCTCGACGCTCACCGTAGAACAGCCAAATGCGGCACACGGAGCGAGGCGCCACTCCAATCCAAGGAGAGAATTAGCCTGGGGGCTGTGGTGCACCAGCAGCAGCCCCCTTCTCCTGAGCACTGAGCCAATCAGGTGTCAAGCTAGTGAGTCAGATCTCACCCCCCCCCCCCCAGGACCGGGCACATCTCTATGAGTTCGGGGTCGGCCTGGTCTACAGAGTGAGTTCCAGCACAGCCAAGGCTACGTACAGAAGCTCTGTCTGCCGGGGCGGGGGTGGGGCAGCTAACAAATTCTGGGCACCAATCATAGAAGATTCTGAGAGGACTAGGAGTGGACTGGGCGGTACCCACTGCACTCACTCCCTGGGAGAGAAGCAGACACACAGCTCTCCAGCCAATGACCTGCCTTGTCCAGGACATCCCAAGAGCTCTAGGTTTAGAGAGGACTCCGCTGGGGATGCCTCACGTGGGAAGGCAGCTGAGGTATTAGTGAGGTCGCCTCGCTCTCCCACACCTCATCCACACATAGGAAGCTCCGGCAACCCTGACCTCCCCACGCACTAAGGCAGGGTAAACTGTTAATACCCTCGGTCTATTTCTGCCACGGTGTCAGCCTTCCTTCTCTGTGACAAAAGACTTGAGAAAGTCAACCTGAAGAAAGGAAACACTTCTTCAGCTCATGGTTTCCAAGGTCTGCATTTCCAATCACTTGGCCCCATCACACTCTGGGCCTGTGGTGCTTCAAGACATCACAGCTCAAGCTTGAGGAAGAAATCTGTTTATCTCATGGCGGACAGAAAGCAAAGGGGGACCCAGCATGCCCCCAGTGGCCTAATCTCCTACTACTAGGACTGACCTCCTATCTCGGTTCTACCACCTCAAGCTGGTGAGGAAGCCTTTTAAGTGGGGGCAGGGGTGCTGGGTGACGCTCATAATCCAAACTGTAACACGTGGGCAGGCACTGCCCTCCTTCTGTGGGAACCCAAGGAGATGAGGACACAAGTGGATCTCAGACACTTCAGTGGGCTCAGAAAAGACCCTGCATTGGCCTGAGCCCACCCAGTGAAGTGCAGGCCAGCGTCATCTCAGGGCTGGTGCCTGGGGAGAGCAGGCGGCACTGAGCACTGAGGGGCAGGTAGGCTATCTCCACGCCATTCACCTCAACCCAGGCCCAAGGAAAACACCTTTCACGGCAGGTGCTCTTGACGTCGGATGAGGGCCTCTTAACCAACCAGCAACCAGCTCACACCCCCACAGGCACAAGGATCCTATAGACATATTTCAAGGACACGCTCCCCACTATACGGTACTTATAGTTAAAATCCAGAGAGTCTTAACCTACTTCTGGCCAAGGGAGGTGAGTGGGCCGGCTCTCCAATCCCAGGCCACATGGCACTGAAATGGTGTAAGCAAAGTGGCTTCACCCCTGGGGCTGGAGTCTGTGTCTCACAAGGATGAAGCCAGGCAACGGCGCCAACCCCAGCCTCTCTTCCTCAGCTCAAGCCGGAAATCCTAGAATGGCAAAGCCAGGGAAGGCAGCTTGCTGTACCAGGCTGTCACTCTGCGTCCCTCAGCAATGCTCTCCCATCACGTCCTGAAGGCATTTTTGTCTCCGTCGCACTACGTCCTAATCCCAGTCTTGAAGTCATTTATAACACAGCGGCCAACTGATGACGTCACTCTACACAGGATGCCACAGCTGTCACCGGGTGCCAATCAGCCCTGTGTGGGCTGGGGTTACCTACATGCTTGGGTTTTGTTCACCGTCTCCACAGGGAGCTCACGTGCGCCTGCATCACCCCTCCTTGGCTGGGCGGGAGATGGCGTCAAGTGGATCAGCTCAAGGAAGCGCTGATGCTCTGTGAGATAACACCACCTGAACCCATGCCAGCTGTCACCCGTCTCTACCAGCTACGGAACACACATCGGCCCCCGACAACAGGCTCTGTGAGGGGGAACGTGCTTCACAGATGAGCTGTTCCTTCATAGCCATTGAACAGCAGCTGGTTTCTAGTCTGAGCCAGTCCTCAAAAAGTAACTCTCACTTCATCTACAAAGGACAAAGTTCAATGATTTGAGTTTCATTTAAAAAAGAAAAAAGGAAAAAAAAAAAAAAAAGGATTGCTCTACACAGATAAATTCCAGACCCAAACATGGTTGCTCTTCCAAGGACAAGAACAAGGGCCCAGAGGCTCTGGCTTTGGCTTGGGAGCCTAAGTATGACTACAAAGCTCAGGCTGAAGGCGGCCAGCCTGAATCGGGACAGGACAGAAGGTCAACAGCCTAGGGGAGGCCGTCACAGCTGGCAGGCAGAGGAGGAGAAGGGCCAGTGTGGG